TGAGAGTAAAGTTGCGCTGGTTTATGTTGTTTAAGATCCTGAGGGTCCGTAAGTAAGTTAATCAACTGCCCCGATGTACGTTAATGCGAACTGAAATATGTTACGCTCATCCTCCTCAGTCTGACCGTACTGGACGAATATATCCGAACGCGATTGCCGCTCATAAGCGGCAATCATTTCATAGACTGGGATAACAAAGACAGACCCCGAAATTCTGCAGTTTATAGATTCAACGGTATTGATGGATGTGTACGTCTCCCGACACAGCGGCTACCCATTACCTAACTCTTAAAGCCACCAGACTCCTTTTCACTAGAAGTTGGCGGCTAGCAAGCTGAATATTCGTGACTTTTCTTTCCCATAAAAATGCAGCCCGTTACTTGGGGACGAGGGGGAACAGACGGGCGATCAGACACCGACTTTGACCATTAATCGAAACCACCGAGTTAGTTCTCTATATTATCTTCAGACCAAAAGGACTGTTTGATGCGCGCTCCCTTAGCCTATTTAGTTCAAGCGCAATCATCTGGCACCAGTCCTAGTATTCACTCACAAAAATAGGCCTGCTCGTTGATGCCAAAAAGCCCATTGAGGTGACTGAAGACGCTATCTCGCCAACTGCAAAACTAGCGCTGCTCAACGGTGTTGAGCGGCGTTAGGAACATTTTTACTGCCCCAGTATCTATCACGCCCTACTCGATCTTGATAGAAGGCTGTTGATTCCTGAACATGGAAATCCGGCCGTCGGAGAAATGGAGTGCCAAAATCCATAAAGTGATAGACGAAGCGGTGGATCTGAATCGTGATTAGAAGAGGCAGTGATCGTTCCTGACGGAATATAGACGGGATGGAGTATTTTCTTGCGAACACATCGATTTGCACCCGAGTCTAACGCTGACAGTAGGGGTGGCAGTTGTTTCCTTCAAATCACCCAACTCGGTTTTCGCTAGTGTCACAGTTGCCTTTCACGTTGAAAAGCGCTGTCAAAACGGACCATCCGTGGTCTCCAAGTGTGCCGTGACAAGTGCCAGGAATCATCATCATCATCATTGTCAGCTGTAAGAACAGCGTACTCGTCGTACAGTGGTTGTAGCTGCCGCAGTTTCGTTCACCGATGATTTGGGGGGG